AGACTCCCTAATCTTACGCTTTGACGTGAAGTCCCCGTGAGTCTATTGAGTCTCCTGTATTGGCCATGAGGGCAGCGAGCTCAGATTTTTGGATTCATAAATCGTTAAAAGCGGTTTTGCGTTCGCATATTCTCTTCTAGATAATTCAGCAGTTCTCACCCAGATAGACTTTACCACATGAGCACAAAAGCTTGTAGCAGCCTTATCTAGAAAGAGGATCTAAAAATTCTCACAACCAAGGAGCAAAAAAAGAAAGTGTTAATTTCTCTTTATACATTGTATTTATATTCCACTTCCTCAGTAGATCACCCAACCTTTGCGCAAGTTGACAGGAAGGCAAAATCATGAAACGAGTAGAATGATCCAATCATCTATTCCGCCACAGATAACAAACGCCCTTCATCTTTTTAATGACAATTGATATGTAATTATCTACTAATCATAATGGGTAATAGTTTTAAAGCATTGTTAGGGGGACTTTCATTTCGTATGAAAATACATGAAGAAGAGATTCACCATATGGGGACGGATAAATCCCGTTATACTGCAGCCGTTTGGCTTTTATACGATAGTCATGTTGACGCAGTCCACGAGAATCCCTACCTCGTTTCAGGCGACAACGCGCTGAGCTTTCGTCCATCATATGATGGACATCATCAGAGCGGGAGTTCATTCCTGTAAAAGTCTCACGTTAAAAATAGGGGAAGAATACTATCCGGCTTTATCTTACTTCTTATATAGACTCAATTAAGCCAAAAGAAAATTAAAAACCTAGACAGATCTATAGAGTAGTTTGGTTAATTTTCTTTCATACTGATACCGTTACTTTTGCCCGAGTATAGAGACGTATGTGTGTTTGCGTGTTAGCCTCTATATGCAATACGGTTCCTAAATCAGAGTCGTCAAAAGTTTAATCTCACGTTCTGATGATCAAGACCTAATGACGCAAGAGAAAGCCTTGACCGAGACTGAATAAGTCCGTATCAAGTATGGTTGAGTTAATGAGATATGAGTTTGTAAGCATGAAAATCAAGTCAGGGAACCACTTTCCTAACCTTTCAGTCTAGAGTCATTAATGTTTAAGCTCTCAAGGAAAGGCAAAAATGGGGTTGCGTAATCTGACAAAACGGGTTTGGTTGATAGTTGAAATTAGAACAATCACCGAGCAGACAAATTGAGTCGCCTTTTTTTTACTGCGGTTAACACCCTCTCTCTCCTTCAATCTATCAACCAAGCATAAGTAGTTTCTACTCAACTTTCTACCCCAGTTCCTCACATTGAACGTATTTCCTAAGCTATAAATTTAAATAGCCTCTTTTACCTTTCTTTTAACCACAGACGTACCATAATCAGCAAGCCTACTGGTTTGAGACCATTCTATTTCATGTCCAGTTTCTACCATGTGTTCGGCCACTTCTAACCGTTGGACAGAGCTTCCTTTGCAAGCATTTTTATGTTCTCCCAATCTTTGTCGAATAGGTCCGCATGTCTCACTAAAATAACATCGACCGCATGAGCAAACAATCTTGTAGC